CTCCGTCAATTTTTTCGATTCTTGTATCCAGAACCAATGTCGTGCTTTTTAATAATCGTTAAGAACAACACTGTTCTTATTTTTATTTAGTATTATTAATCTATAATAACTATTATTACATACCGTTTACAATAATTACATTTCGGTTTGTGTTAATTAAAAACGAATGTATCTATGTTTTATCTAGTGCCCAGCGAACATTCAATCAGTACGAAGATTTAAATGTAGGCCACTGTATGTATGCAAAAGCCTGGACAGACCCTTGTGTCTCGAAAATTGGCTTGTCTCGACTCTAAGAATATTAGATCAACAAATTTTGAACAGGCTATATACATTTAAGTATTTTTGACATTCATAGGTATCAATAATATTTAATAATAATAATAATAGACTTTACGTTATCAAGAAATTAAATCTATCTAGGAACTAATGGTCGGTAGATATTTCTAAATCAAACACTGAATATCATATATAAAAATATACAGATAAAATTAGCTGAAGAAATAAAAGCAATGTGGAATTGAAGCACAGTCCAAATTATTCTAATAATAATTTCATCAATAGACGTTGGGTACAGGACCTATGACATTATGTAGAAGTTCAGCTGAAATTACATGAACTTATCAATCTCCAAAAACCAGTAACAAATGACACTTCTGGAATATTATGCACATTTGTCAACATCAACGCGCATCCCATTGTAGATAACACACTGGGTTAAATTGGAAGTTGAAACATCGATGTTAAGAACCTACTTTACTGAAATGTTGCCAATCCGCGATTTATGGCAAGACGTGCTGATAGTCCAATACATAATTCAATAGCAAGGCGTTCAAAATAAATATGAATGAGAATATTTGGCGTCGGTCTGTTAGAAGTTCACAAAGAGAAAGAATGCATCTGTAAATATTACTAAAGTGTTAACGGATCAACTATAGGGATAATGCCCAGATACTATTGAAGCTTCAGAATTTTTGAGTTTTTGTTCCTCCTTTCATAAAAACATAAAATTAATTAACTGGATTACGTATAAACACAAATTGATGTTTAAAAACTGGTTCCTCATTGCTATAGATTTCTATATTCCATACCAGCGGTTCGCAATTTTTCTTTTCTACAGAACCCTTTCTGACTTACCCGTTTTTGACGGAATCCCATCTCGACAATAAAGTAAACTGATAAGAGTTTTATGTCTAACAATAAGACCCCTGACACCTTATTGTGTACATGCTGGACTCAAAAACTTTATTGTACGTATGTATTTAAAATACACATTTTTACTAATAATAGCATTAAAATTGGGTGTAATGTCCGTCAATTGAATTTGAATATCCAGAACGACATCCAGTCAAATTCTGAATTTGTTTTTACTGTAGACATAAACTGAAAAGCTCGTCTGTAAATCGAAGCAGGAAAGTGGTAACCTTCTCAGTGACTGCGGAGTATTCATCTTTAATCGTAAGCTCAATCCAAAGGTCATTCAAATTTGTATCATTCGATTCGAATTTTTGTTTTAGAGAGGATGAATTCTAAATATCGATCAAATTCTCATTTGGAAGAGGATTAACATTTGTAACTTTATTGTTCAGCACATTCAAATCCAGAAGCCAAATTGGTCTTTTATCCGTAGAGAAGATATTTTGTCTCTCACTGCAAGAACCTGCTGATTATTTTGAGTTTATCGAATATATTGGTTATATAAACTATTTTCATTATCCATTTCTCGTCAATTTAGTTCAATATGACTTACAGACGAAAAAATTGAGTGGTGCAAACCGAAAATGCAGCGTTCGTTAGAGCAGAGGTACGCGATTAAATTCTGTGTGAAACTCGGTAAATCTGCGACAGAGACGTTTGATATGATCAAGCAGGCTTACCCAGATGTTGCTTTAGCAAGAAGTGGTGTGTTTCGGTGGCANCTGGGGACGAAAAATGGGTTGTATACAACAACGTCAAACGCAAGAGGTCATGGAGCAAAAAAGATGAACCGGCTCAAACCATTTCCAAAGCCGATATTCACCAAAAAAAGGTGATGCTGTCTGTTTGGTAGGATTTTAAAGGAATATTTTTTTTTTTAACTTTTACCGGATAACATAACGATTAATTCGGAAGTTTACTGTCATCATCATTTCCACAGAAAAAAACGAAATGACTTTCCGAACAACCCTATAGATAATAGGTATGCTTTAATAAATTAATGAGAAGATGACAAAAAACTTTGGTAACATTTTTATTGTTGCTGTACATTCAAAATAAATTACCTTACAAGCTAACATTCGAAAAAAGAGCTCTAAACATAATTAGTAAGTACACTTTGGTATTAAACAAATTCAATATCAATAAATTAACACTTAACCGGTCTGATATTTACAATTTGCTTTTTCAGCACTTCAAAATTGAAACACAATATTCGTATGTCATCTAGAAATTAATCTAACAATTTCTTATACAGTCTCAATTTTGTCTTTCATTTCGTTTGCACACTTGAAATAAGTTCGCGTCTTTTGTACACAGGTGTCGCTTGGGTTGAACTTTTTACTGAATCACTTGCTTTCGAGACACTTTTCGTAGTGGCGCTTTCCAATGTTTCCGCATCCGGTATATGTTTGGTAGGATGTCTGGAGTCCGTATACCGTCTTTTGGTATATTTTTTCTTGTCTGAATTGGCAGTAGTGGTGGTAGTAGTGGTACTAACAGGTTTGGATGTTTTAGCTTCTACTTTTGCTATTCTTTCGAAATCGGCAGTTCTTGATTTCAAGACTGCGTTGCCGATGCTAGAAATGCTTGTAGTGAATTTTTGTTCTCTCTCCTGTGGTCCTGATATACCACTTAGATTTCGAGTTATTGACGCTGCACTAAAACTTTTCTGGATGTCTGCTGTGGTCGGTTGAAGTGGTATTGGTTCTTTAATGATTTTAACGTATCGCGGTTCTGGTATCGTTGCAATTGAAATTTTCTGTGCTTTAGGAGTCGACTTTGGAGTTGGTGTCGATTTTAGGGTGATTTTTGATTGAACCTCTTCGGGTATGTAATTTACTGCTATTGACGAGTAGTCTGGAGATGTAGGGGGTGATGAGGCCCAGGAAGGAGGTGAACTGTGAAATCCTGAAACAAAGAAAGGCGAGAATGAGAAAAGTTCTCTACTAGGAATATCATAAATGAAGGGTATAGACGTCATATATTCCAGATACGATTCCGCAATATAAAAATAAAAAATTCCGACAACTAGTAAAAAGTTTAGAATTGCTATACGACCGGGGACATTTATCATATGTCTATCATGTGCAACTAAGGAACGAGCATCAAGAGATAGGGGAAAGTTTGCAATAATTCGAGGAAGATATCGCACAACTGGTCCAGTGAGAACTCTTGTTGACACATTAGCTCGTATGCTGCATTATGATGCAGTCAAGCACACGTCTCAAATCCAAGATAGGGTGCGTGTGGCACGGAACAGTGAAACACCTGAGGGAATGGTATGTTGTCGAATATCTGCGGATAAAGCAATTAATAAAAGACAAGCGAAAATTCACGAATCGAGGAATCAACGTTTTAAAAGAGAACTGGCCGACTTGAAATGCAAGATGGATCTGATTCGAGCGGAAACGGAAGGCATCATGAGCGAGCAAATAGAGAGACAGCGTTTGGCCAAAAAGATAAATAAATTTGAATAGGTATACTAACCAGACCAAGATCAACTTCTGGCAAAAACGGAATTTCTGAAGAACAAGAAAATACAACTACCGAATGCTTTGGAGAACGCACTACAAGAAAAACAGCCTTGGTTTAATAAGTTAAATAAATTTGAAAAAGAAAAGGATCAGCTACTACTTCAGGGCAGTCTAGGAAACACATTAGAAGGGAAAGAACATTTGTCTAATAGGAATTACGAATTCGAAAAAATAGAGCAAGATCTGAAAATGGAAATAAATCGTTTTTGCCAGCTTTCAGCGTTTCAAAAACAAAAACTAGCCATATAGTAACAGATATTCTCATTCAGCTGCTGAAGCACTTGGTCAGACGCCAGAAACATAATAAATTTTTTTAAATCGACTCAGTCCTATTACTTTCCGGACAAACCCTGTAAGTCGTGATTTATGTTAACATGCCATATCTTTACATGGTTCATTAAGANATTTCTGAAGAACAAGAAAATACAACTACCGAATGCTTTGGAGAACGCACTACAAGAAAAACAGCCTTGGTTTAATAAGTTAAATAAATTTGAAAAAGAAAAGGATCAGCTACTACTTCAGGGCAGTCTAGGAAACACATTAGAAGGGAAAGAACATTTGTCTAATAGGAATCGAAAAAATGGAGCAAGATCTGAAAATGAAAATAGATCGTTTGTGATAGCTTTTAGCGTTTCATTCAGCTGCTGAAGCACTTGGTCAGATGCCAGAAACGGTTTTGGTCGAAAGCTGCGACCACCACCTAATGTTGTTTTTTTGTTGCAAACTTGGCGAAGATGTGGTGTTGCCAAAGAAAATCATGTGAACAAACTCCGAAAACGATTTCACGATATTCCTTAGGATTCACGTTTTAACAGACAAATATCTAGCAACATCTATGACATGAGGCGTCCAATCAAGGATTCCAAGAAGGTAACCTGGTGTGGTTACACAATCCAAGACACCAGAGGGGTCTATCACCGAAACTGCAACATCATTAAGACGGTTCATACAGCGAATAAATGATGTCTTCTACCGGGTTAGACGTGCACCGTATGGGAAATAAAAAATTGTCTATTTCAACCCATTGACTCCATATGCTGGCGACAACCACAAAGGTGCTCGAATTCGAATTATTCAAGCTCGATCAGAAGAAGAAGGATTCCAAAGTCAGATTTAGAGTATCATATGAAAGTTCCCAAGACTTATTTGCTGTCTTGGCTCATTGTGTGCCCACATACTTGAGTATGGGTTGTGGAATAGCTGTGGTATTAAAAAAGGAGCTAAAGGGCAGATTTCCGACTGCTTTTGAGTATGCACTCAGGCAAGGACCTGCTGATGGTCGGCAACCTTTGTACTAAATATGCGAAAGGTAATAAATAATATCCGCAGTGACGCATATTTGCCTGCTTAACAATAGGAGTTTTCGAGAAAAATTAAGACTCGGGAGAATTCGATGGTTCGCTGATAGAATGGTGACGTACTTTAAACTATTATAATATTTTTAAGTTACTGTTCACTGAAGAACATCTCCATTCACTATATATTTATAGTTTTTGTTCAAAAAGTAAATACTTTTTGCAATGGCAGAATTAGCAGAACGGTAGCTTCTGAACAAATGCTCGGAGCATTTAATATTTACGACACTTAATCAGTATTTACTGAGGGTTATGTAGTACATGACTGAAACAGTGGTTTTCGTTAGTCAAACTTGTTATTGGGACTATGTATGTCAATGTAATCTCCTAGTCGCGGAGTTTTATTTATTGTAATTTTAGGTGTATGGAAATTCAGTGAGAGTTCTATGTTTGTTTTACTTCTAATTTTAATCATGTAAAAGCTGACTCCATTTTATCTTTAATACTACTGATGAATTAATTAAACAGAAAATAATTGCAGACTTTAGTAAGATCTGTCTTTACGAAAGATTAGCTGAATTCTGTCTAAAATAAAACGATCCTTACGATTATTCGGATTATTGTGAAGATTTTAGTGAAAAGGAACTGTCAAGAACCCAATTGTAAGGATGTGAAACAAAGGCATCGCAATAACTATACATTAAGAGGCAGAAATGATAGAGGAATAATTTATCTTGTAATTTTTGCCATTAAGGTATAATCGTATATTTCTGATAGTAATATACCCAGTGTAACGCCCTACTAATCTCATAAATGCTTTTTGTTGTAACTGTTATTCTCATTTAATACTATTAGGAATTAGGAGTGTTAGAGCCTGTCGTTTAAAATTCTCAAGAAACGAGACACGGTAATTTTTGGAACACAAGGGGTTTGCCCCGGTTTTCGCATATAAGCAGTGGCGTACATTTAAATCTTCGTAGTACTTGAAAGTGCTTTGGGTACTCAACGAAACATGCCTTTTTAAATAGTTGAGCAGGTGAATAAATATGACCCACAGGTGTATTAGAAAATACTCCGTCAATTTTTTCGATTCTTGTATCCAGAACCAATGTCGTGCTTTTTAATAATCGTTAAGAACAACACTGTTCTTATTTTTATTTAGTATTATTAATCTATAATAACTATTATTACATACCGTTTACAATAATTACATTTCGGTTTGTGTTAATTAAAAACGAATGTATCTATGTTTTATCTAGTGCCCAGCGAACATTCAATCAGTACGAAGATTTAAATGTAGGCCACTGTATGTATGCAAAAGCCTGGACAGACCCTTGTGTCTCGAAAATTGGCTTGTCTCGACTCTAAGAATATTAGATCAACAAATTTTGAACAGGCTATATACATTTAAGTATTTTTGACATTCATAGGTATCAATAATATTTAATAATAATAATAATAGACTTTACGTTATCAAGAAATTAAATCTATCTAGGAACTAATGGTCGGTAGATATTTCTAAATCAAACACTGAATATCATATATAAAAATATACAGATAAAATTAGCTGAAGAAATAAAAGCAATGTGGAATTGAAGCACAGTCCAAATTATTCTAATAATAATTTCATCAATAGACGTTGGGTACAGGACCTATGACATTATGTAGAAGTTCAGCTGAAATTACATGAACTTATCAATCTCCAAAAACCAGTAACAAATGACACTTCTGGAATATTATGCACATTTGTCAACATCAACGCGCATCCCATTGTAGATAACACACTGGGTTAAATTGGAAGTTGAAACATCGATGTTAAGAACCTACTTTACTGAAATGTTGCCAATCCGCGATTTATGGCAAGACGTGCTGATAGTCCAATACATAATTCAATAGCAAGGCGTTCAAAATAAATATGAATGAGAATATTTGGCGTCGGTCTGTTAGAAGTTCACAAAGAGAAAGAATGCATCTGTAAATATTACTAAAGTGTTAACGGATCAACTATAGGGATAATGCCCAGATACTATTGAAACTTCAGAATTTTTGAGTTTTTGTTCCTCCTTTCATAAAAACATAAAATTAATTAACTGGATTACGTATAAACACAAATTGATGTTTAAAAACTGGTTCCTCATTGCTATAGATTTCTATATTCCATACCAGCGGTTCGCAATTTTTCTTTTCTACAGAACCCTTTCTGACTTACCCGTTTTTGACGGAATCCCATCTCGACAATAAAGTAAACTGATAAGAGTTTTATGTCTAACAATAAGACCCCTGACACCTTATTGTGTACATGCTGGACTCAAAAACTTTATTGTACGTATGTATTTAAAATACACATTTTTACTAATAATAGCAATAAAATTAGGTATAATGTCCATCAATTCAATTCGAATATCCGGAATGGCATCCAGTCAAATTCTAAATTTGTTTTTATTGTAGACGTAAACAGAAAACCTCGTCTGTAATCTGTAAGTCGATGCAAATCGAAATAGGAACTGTGGCAACCTTCTCAATGACTGCAGAGTATTCATCTTTAATCATAAGTTCAATCCAAAGATTATTCAAATTTGAATAATTCGAAACGAATTTTTGTTTTAGAGAGGATGAATTCTTATTGTAAAAGGATAAAAATTCGTAACTTTTTTGTTCAGCACATTTAATCCAGAAGGCAGTTTTTTATCGTTAGAGAAGATATTTTGTCTCTCATTGTTAA